ATGAGTATTCCGCAGTCGGTAGCGCCCGACTGCAACGTTCTTACTTGTTTTGTTTGGTACATTTATCCTCCATATATTATTTGACCAATTGATCGTTAGCAACAACAATATACATATGCGTATGATATAATAATAATAATAATGATAATCAGAATGTGATGCTTAATATATATTTATATACGTCCAAAGCATAAACAAAATCCAAAGCATAAACATAATATTATTAAATATCAAGCTCTCACCTAATCATACAACTTACAAGTTAGATTACAACAAAAATAATAAAATAAAAGTGGCATATTTTAATGAATCTGACGCGTGCAAACTGTCTAAGCCAAATTGTCTAATTGGCTACAATTGGAATATAGAATCAAGTATATCTGTAATCCTAAATGGTAACTATTGACTTAAGTTCTTCCTTTCTAGTACTAGCTTTGTATTCCCATTACCCAATTTGTTTCATTTAAGTAAAAATATTCGTTTGCAGGCAGCCATGTTTGTCAATTTGGAAATCATAAACGGCGATAAAGGCACAAAGAGATACGAATGTAACAACTGCTGCGAGTCCCAAAAGGGTGCTTTGTCTATTAATTGATAATGTAGCCGTGTGCATTATGTATTATATTTATTCATTTGAGTCAATCCTGGGGTTGTTTCGATACCATCACGAACACACTCCGTTGTAGAGCGTGCCGCCTATTGCGCAGAATCGCGAGCGACTGCCAAGGACAACGCGCGCGTTTTTCCAGTATGTGGACACATTTATTTATTTATTTTTGTTTTTTCCTTTAATTTTATATGTGGTTCTTATTGACTGGCTGCAGCAGTTGATTTCGCGAAGTGGTGGAAAGGGATGTTAAGAAGATCCATTTTATTTGTTTGTATATATAATTTGATTAGTTGTTACACTCCGTAAGGGCTGAATGTTCAGAATTTTAGCTGGCGGCGACTCAATTGTTTGGACCTTTACACCCTATTGGCCTCTTTAAAAAGCCACAACATTGACCACAACAAAGCACTTCTGATTAATGGTAGCGGCCCTCGACTAGACCACGATGGCCGCTAAAAAATGCCCAGCTAAACTATCTGGTATCTGCGTTAAAGTTAGCATTCTTACATCCACTGGTCCCTGGCCTGGCGGCATACAAAGGACATTAGCTACATGAATGGTGAGGTCTGCACAAAGACATCTGCAGATCACTGCAAGTGCTCGCAGCCTCAGCTCTTGTCTCTTAGTTCAGAATCCAATACAATTGTCTCATTGTTTCGGTTCTTTGTGCTGCACTGACTTTCATTCATAAATGAATCATGGAGCTGGGCATTGTTGTCCTGGGCCTTTGGTCGAATGCCATCAAATATTAAAAAGTCGGTAAGGAACTTTGAAATGTATTTCTATAGCCAACAGTATTGACGCTGTCATAGGAGAATTGTAAAGTCCTTCAACAATTTGGTACTAAACGACATTCCAAACAAACAGACCGCACGCACTCACCTATTGCCGGAGGTCTGATGACTCAAAAACACGCAACGGAACCCTAATTGCTCAGTGGTGCAAAGCTCTTCTATAATTTATTCATAAGCGCACTATAATATGAGGCTACTTGAGCGGTAATGAAGTCATATTTGTTAAGCCAACAGCCGTTCATAGAAGTGTTTCTCTCTACTTTCTGTCCATCAAGAGCCCCTGAGCCACAATAAATAAACCCTCAGCCGTAATGGGTAATGGGTACAGCCCGAGCCGCTCGCTGACTGTGTTGCCAAAGTAGCAACAATGGCAACTACAACAATCAGTCAAATGCAAATGTCACAACCAATTAATGTCAAGAACGATATGCTGTACAATCAAAGCAACTGAACTCTCATAAGCCAAACGGGGTGCAGCAGATCCCATCTTGTTGGTGCTGCCCCTGGTGGTGGTTCTTAGCGTACACGCGCTTACTGGTGTATCCAGTTTGGCCATAGAATGACACTCTCTATCTCTCTGTTTCTCTCTATTTGTCTTTCTCCTTCTATCACATTGGATCCGGCTTAAATTATATACAAAGTTTCTCTCCGCTTTCATTTGCTTAGCGTTTACCCCCGTTTTGTTTACAATTAAAATGATATTGTGGTCTTCGCTTTTCCAAAAGGGAGCTTATTAAAGCCCTCCGGATTCATAAGCATGTTTGCTAACAGAATTCAAACATTCTCTCAGTGTAAGTACCTGCTTTGACCTTAGCATTCCTGGAAAACAGAATGCTATAATAGCACGATCTATTCGATCAACAATACTCGAAGTAATTTGAGCGTATAAACTAAGCATGTACAAACGGATGTGGTCAAAGGTGAACAGCACAAAGTGCTCAAGAGGCCCTTCACGAATAACAATATCTTATAACAAAAACTGGTCCAGACTCTGAGCACGAGACCGGCGCAACGCCTACACAACGCATTGCCAAAAAAAAACAATAAAATAAAATAAAATAAAAATAAATAAATAAAGATTCATTGATGCAGCTGCGACTTGGATTGCAAAGAATTTTTGCATGGGCTTACATTAAGGAAAGTACGCCAATTAAGCAGAAGCCAAAACCAACAACAATGCCCCAAAGTAGAAAACCAAATCGATATGTCGGACTCCTAAAGCCATGCAACTGCAGTTAACAATGCAATTTGAGATGTACCGTCAAAGTGGAACAACAATTAACGTTTGTAATTGTGTGGAGTTTTGTAGCCACTTAACATATGATAAAATATCTTGAAAGAATCACAGAAAGAAGAGATACAACACAAAGCAGCACCCGGGTAGACACCTAAGCATTACGCACCGTAGCACAATGGCGTGAAAAGGACAATTATAGGAAATCCTAAAAGTCAGTTAACAAATGATAAAACTGCCGCCAAATGTTCTCTCTGTAACGTAGCCCAAAAATCAACTGTCCTGCACTCCCTCTCGCTCTTGCCCTTGCTGTTAGCTTCTCTCTTTTTAAGGAGACTCACTGTCTGGCCGAGCACAAAGACGCAATGGGCATCGGCATCGGGCATCGGGCTTCAGGTCTAGGGTCCAGGTCGTGAATGAAATGCCACAGCTCATCCTGAATGGACCAAGTTTGTATGCGTGTATGTGTGGTTGAGTGTGTAATAAGTACAGCTATGTGAGGGCATTGTTAACCGATTTGGCAGACAGACATAAGGATAATGCATCCATAAAAACATGTTAAGGTTATCATAATTCAGTCGACAATACAAACAGACAAATTGGCAAGCAAAAATATAGCATGAAATTTCTAGACTTCAGTTTTCCGTGGGATCGATCAGCTATATTTCAGTCCGAATATTTTTTGAAAATCAAAGCATTACTTCCAATTAAATTCCAGAAAATTTCTACGGAACGAGTCGAAAGGAACCTTAAACTAAGGAATATTAAATCTACAATATTTAAGTTGGCTTCAGCGAAACGTGCAATTCAAAAAAAAAAGTACGAAAGCTCTAGTCGAGACTGCTCGACTACGAGATCCCCTGAACTCTCCACGCAACTGATATTTCAATCACAAAAAAAATAAAAAAACTAAATACACGATGAGAATGAGAATTGGAGACTCTATCTTTAAAGATGATATGCGCGCAATATATACGGGCATTTAAAAGATAAGTTGAAGTCTTTAGCTCTGATATCTTCTGAGATCAACGCGTTCATACATACGGACAGGCGGATGGATGGACGGACGGACGGACAGACAGACGGACAGGGCTATATTGACCTAGCTCGTCGCCCTGATCAAGAATATATATACTTTGTGGGGTCTGCCACGCCTCTGCCTCCTTCATTCATTTCAACAAAACCAAAACCCTGATTTGTGGAAACTTAATTGCTTAATCGCTTTTCTTGTTGACGAGCTATGTTCATGAAACTTTCAGGTCATTCTTATAACATTAGTATTTGAAATACGGCTTTTACAAAGTAAGAAGGCTCTAGTCTCTAGACGGCTTGTCTAGGAGATACCTTGAACCCTCCAAGCTGATATTCTAATCATACTGCACTTCTCTTATGCATACATACATACACATGCATCCCACGCGCTTTGCGAACTGCGCTTGGGCTGCGCTGCAGTGTGGGCTGTATTATGAGAATTTATTTATTGAATAACTTCTTTTGTAGATCGACAATCTTAATGAAACTTTCATAACGTAGTCATCATTTTTAAACTGTGTATATTCTGAAGCACTAGTCTGAAATACATTTATTGAAATTGGTGGCAAAGGGGGCGTGGTATCCGAAATCTGTAAATCTCGAAATCTTCATATCCTTTAAATATATAAACACAATGAATATGAAGTCTCTAGGCCTAATAGTATTCAGATTAGGCTGAAAAAAAACGAAGTCAATTATCGATTATTCTCGATAAAAAATATATCGGATGAGTTATCGAAAAATATGATAAACTCGTAGTGCGTATGATATGCACGAGTAATCAAAATTCCAGCTCCCTAGCTCTTCATCTTCTGAGATCTCGGCGTTCATACAGACAGACAAACACACAAACTACATATGTATATCAACTCAACTCGTCGCCCTGATGAAGAATATATATACTTTATGGGGTCTGTGATGATTACTTTTGGCTGTTACATACTTTTCATAAAACCTGCTTTTCCATTTTCAATGGGCTCAAAGTAGTAAAAACAGTTCCGAGATATTAATTTAATAGACCGTAAGTCCATACAATTCCACAATAAAAGTATAATGATGTATTAAAAAAATTAGATATCACTGTCAGAATTTGGATGCTGAATAACGTTTTATAATATTATCGTACGCAATCTAAGCGCATAGTCAAATATGTGAGTAAATGTTTATTGTAATAGAGACAGAAATAAAATATCGATTGCTTTTTATATATTTCTTCTTCTACTAACTGTTCCTTTCCCATACTTTTTATTCTTCCACTACTTGTGTTGAATTCCAATTTAAAATGTAGTATATAAATAATTATTGGGATCTAACTCGAAAGTAAATAAAAAAACTAGTACTCTTCCCTTAGTGTGATCAGAAGCCAAACGCAATCAAATATATTTCATGTATTGATGTTATATTATATTATAATAACACATCGAATCAAAATTGTCTGTAGCATTCTAATTTCCAACTTTAGTTGACGACATTGTACATTCAACCACTATCGATATATGTTACCTGCCATTGTGAATGATCTGTGTGTCTTAGGGGCGGAGCTTCAATGGCTACAGTTTCTGAGTTTAGACGAAGACAAGCTGTAAATGGTGGCTTAATGGTCAGAGGGAAAAAGAGAAACAACCCTCAAAGAAGTCAACAACAATAAAAAGGCAGCCAGACCAGGGCCCAGGGTGTGCAAAAACAACCCCTCAGCCAACGGTGTCTATATAAAGTAAATGAAACAGCCAGAGAGCTAACCAGTAACGCTCTAACAGCGATCGTGCTAGGATCTCGCACCGAATTGAGTAGCAGTAATAGCATTCACGAATCACGACTTTCAGGAAACATGTCGCGCTCTTTTCTAATGGACTCGCTGCTCAGCGATATACCACCACTCAACAAGAATAAGGAACCACTTGGGTCGCCCATTGACCCCACTGTGAATGCAACGGCGGCAGCTGTTGCCGCCTCAGCTGCTGCAGCCGCAATGCTGCCAGGTATACCCATGCTGCCATATCCAGCAAGTTATGTGGGCAGCTATCTCTTCTCCCTTGGCATCCAGCAACAACAACAACAGCAGCAGCAGCAGCAGCAGCAGCAACAACAACATCAAAAGCATCAAGCAGCTGCAGCTGCCGCTGTTCACGCATCTCTGTATCATCCGTATGCGCAGCTTTTTGCAGCCAAGCGAAAGTCCAGTGGGTTTGGGAGCTATGACGATTGCTATCCATCGCCTCCACTATCGGCCAATGCCGTTGCTTACAGCTCTAGTGCACAACTGGCTCTGCCATCAATTCCGCTGACGGGAGCCTACGGTCAAGGCGTCTATGAAGCCGGTGCCTTCTGTACCTCGCCATCGGCATCCTCGACTACTTCGTTGGATTATGGCAATCCTGATGAGCAGCCTATGAAACGCTCCAAGCATGATTCTTCTTGCTCACCTGCCAGCTCTCCCGTTAAGTCTCAAACAACAGTTTCCAGCGCCGGCTTGGAGATCACCCCCTTAATCAATGACTATGCCGACTCCAGCAAACGCATCCGCACTGCCTTTACCAGCACCCAGTTGCTCGAGCTGGAAAGAGAGTTCTCCCACAATGCCTATTTGTCCCGTCTGCGCCGTATTGAGATCGCCAACCGTCTACGACTGTCAGAAAAACAAGTGAAAATTTGGTTCCAGAATCGACGCGTTAAGCAGAAGAAGGGCGGCTCCGAAAGTCCCACTTTCAATTTATCAGCCAACTCGACTAGCCCCCAGACGTCACCCACGGCCAAGTGCTGTGCGTAACATATGTATATTGTTGATTAAGTTCTATGTGTACAAAAAATAACTGATTCGTTGTCCTCTTAAGATAGTCATTAATGTGTACATTTTGTATAGTCCAAAATAAAAACTCTTTGAAAAAAACTCAAAGCTCTACTTAAAATACTCTGAAGCCGTCGATAAAAAAAAATCTGAAAAAGTAAAATTTGATGCATGCTTCCTTGATCGGAACATAAGTCTGGGTTAATCAAACTGTGTCAGTCCTTAAAGAGCTATAGACATAAGTTCTCTCTGACGATTTCAAAAGCGAACTTTAATTTTTAAGCAGTAATTATTGCACATTTAAGGATTCAAATACTAATCAAATATCGGATACGGCTTTTCACGAAAGTGAAATAAGTGTATTGGTTTTGTGCAATGGCTGTCTGTCTATCTATCCGTCTGTTCGTATGAACGCAGTCGTACGAACGCGCTATCGAAACTAGAGACTTGCAATTTGGAATACATACTCGTGCATATCTCCGATTTATAACGTGGTAAAATTTTCCCGATCCGCCCAATAGGGGCGTGCCAAATCGGAAAATGCATTTTCCGATATACCAGAAATCTTAATAGTTGATGAGCTAGAAAGCTGACATTTGGAATGTAGATCCGTGTCGACCATTCAAGATTACGAGCTATGGTGGATATATCTACGCCCATTAAGGCGTGCCAAATCGGATAAAACTGTATCTCCTAGAGTTTTTAAGTTAGAACGTGAGCCAATTCTATAAAAATTAATGAAGAAATTATATGTCTACGCCCACTAGAGGCGGGGCAAATGGGACCTGAAGATATGTTGATTTTTTATTTCTGCTACATTTTGGACATTATTGATGCTAGAGACCTCAAATTTTGTATATATACTTGGGCTGCCCATCCAAGACCAAAAAGATCTGAATTCAAAGTCGCCCAACTGTGAGCTATGTATATAATAAGTTATCTTACAGCATCTGCAAATCACAATAATTTACTCTACATTTATTTCCATGAAATCGAATTTTACAATTTTATATCAGAATTTGGATACGAATCTTATATACGAATGTTTAGTAGGCCTGGAACCGTTATTTTCTACCAGCTGTTTCCAAAAAAAAAATTTAATAAAACAGCAGATGGAAAATACAAACTTATATCTTACAAATTCAACGTTCTAACGTGATGTCGAGCATTTACAAGGAGCTGAAATCAGAATGGTCAAAGGCCTCACCGAATTTAGCGCATTGCGGCCAGCTCTTGAACTCACTTAAGTTGGAGATGGTTCGCTCTGGCTACGTAGACGTTGAGGACGAGGGCAAAGTAAATCCCCAGCAAAAACAGGAGCTGCAGAGGTCACGGGATATGCTGGAAATAGCTATTGAGCACAGCATTAAGGTTAAAGACAATGCCGCCTTTGAGCGATATATGACACAGCTAAAGATGTACTACTTTGATTATGACAAGCATCTAGACTCCTCGCATCAGATGCACAAATTCATGGGTCTCCATTTGCTCTATTTGCTGGCCACCAATCGCATTGCCGACTTTCATATTGAGTTGGAGCGTTTACCGTCGGCTCTGCTTCTGCAAAACCCTTTTATTTCGCCGGTGCTGGCGTTGGAGAACTACTTCATGGAGGGACGGTACAACAAGATCTTGCAGGCAAAGAAGTCGATGCCATCTGAATTGTATGCTGATTTTATGGATCTATTGGTGGATACGGCCCGGGAGGAGATAGCCTCATGCTTGGAAAAGTCTTATGGCAAGATCGCCGAAAAGCAGGCAGCACTACGCTTGGGTCTCAAGCCCGGGGGCCACGAGATGCAGGCTCTGGTCAGAAAACGGAAATGGACCCTAGATGAGGATGGAAATTTCAACTATACCGATCTACACATGAGGCAAAAGGAGAAAGTGCCGGCAAAAGATATCGCTGTTCATACGCTGACATACGCCCAGGAACTAGAGAAAATTGTTTGAAGTTATAGCAAAAAAAGCGTTACACGTTAATCCAATCAACTAGAAAATGATGGCCTGAAATATAGTTGGTTTTTCCGAAATTTGTCAGATTACATTTTCACACATCTCAACCTAGATTTCATTCCGTCCTAAAAGCCGACAGGCGTTATAAATTGTGGACAGATCCGGAGTCAGGGTAGTCTAATCGAGTTTGAATTTTAGTGTATCTGTTATACATAGGATTTATATTTAGAACACTTTAGAATTCAGATGCGAATTCATGGTCTCTTCCATTGGATATTTCATATACTACAAGGCCGACCGCAACAACGACAGTAATGACGACAATGAAAGTTGCATTATCATTGCCACTCAATTAATCATGTGAAATATAACGATATCATTGTGCTACTTAAGAAGGGTACTTGAAAATCTTAAGGTTTAATGTTTAATTGAGCGAAAACTCCTATCAAAGATGTTTTGCGCATGTAACAATTTTAGCACATCCGTAACATTTAGAATACGTCAACTCAGATGCTTATCATTGTTGGGTCCAAATAATCAAATGATACTGAGGAGTACCATCCAAATCGAATCAGGCGCAACAAAACTCCTTCGGGCCTTCGGTCTTTTAGTTGATTCAGACAAAGTCAAGAACAATTGTCATCGATCTTTCAATGAGCAAGGCAGACGCATTCTACTCTTCATTGTGGGCTCTTCCAAAACTCAATGAGAGAGAAAGAATGAGGGGTGCGGTGCTAATAAACGCAATTGCACCTACGCCCCTGCGGGTCAGCAGTTCTCGTGCAGAATAGCCCCGTCGGTGGCTTTAAATGGAATTCTGAGTTCCATTCATTGTGCACATTCTTGAAAATTCGTCGCAGGTAGTATTCATCTATTGCACGATCGTTATCAGAAAGTATATGAAAGACTTGCCTTACTGTTTTTCAAGTGTGCGCCCACTTGAGTTGAAGATCGAGCTCTTGAGACTGAAGTGCTCAGGTAGGTGGTACCAACTCCTGTTGTGTATGCAGTTTTTTTTTTTTTTTTTTGTGCAAATTCATTGAATATTGTGCTTTGTACATAGCACGCCATTGACGTAGTAGTGAAACTAAAATTGATCTACTTTAAATAAATATTCGGCTAAATTTTACTGTAGAGAGATACCGGATAATAGAAAGTCGATACAATTGATAAGAAAAGTATATATTTATATTTTCGGAAATGAATTTGGGAGCTGGCGTTAACTACGTATACATAAGGAGTACTAATAGTTCTCAGATTTTCTTAATATGGACAGAGTAAATTCGGCTAGTACACTCTAAATTTGCTTCGGGTGTCAGGCTTGACTTGATTATATTCCATGCAAAATATCAAAAAACACGCGCTATTCATGAATGAATGGAAACCCAACTGTGTCAAGTGTTGTTAGGCATTCTCAAAATGTTTTCCCAATTTCTGTTACATTTCATGAATGAAACCTACACCGAGACTTAGAGGCTGTTTAGCTACGCTGTCCGCCGCTTGACTCGAAGTTCTTCAGAGCTGGGAATTTCCGCTATCTTGTTAAAATATCATTAGACTGCGCAGTGCTAAAACAAATTCTTTTGAAAATTTGTTGGTCAGGTTACGCTGAGGCTACCTGAACTTAGACCGTTATGCATTTGCCAGGTGCGGAGACTGCACTTGTCTAGACTCTAGACACTCTGTCGCCAGGGAGCTCGCATTGAGTATCCTGCAGCGCAACGGCTGTGGTCTCAAGTACTTAATTTTAAGTGTTTACATCGATCTTTAGCTATTTATGTGGAGCTACATACTTGACCTTGATATTATCTGGCGACTAACTAACACTGGTTAACATTCAATCTGGTTATATGTATAGCTAAATAAATAAATGACAAATTTTTGATAATATATTATATAATATCAATCTCGAATTGCATTATCATGTGTATATTTATTGACAAAGCTAATATTTGAGTTTCTTCAATATTCGTCTTACAAGTCTTGCAAGCATGGGCTTGAAGCTAGAGACTTGAAATTTTTAATATATTTATATATTTAAATTAACCATTTTAGTACATATATGTATAATCATAAAACTATTGTAAAGATCTTCAATTCCTTATAATTATAAAATGCTGTATGAATGGAAACTATTTGACGAGTACATACATATATACTCGGTATATCCGGTATCAAATTTAATGTATTTTTCCCCGTATGGTGCTTAAGATACCTTCTAATTAAAGTGTTAAAGTGTTGAGCCCCAAGAGAAACAATATATGATAGATAATAGCTGCTGCGTCATGAAAAGCCGAACATGTCTAATTCATAACTAGAAAAATAAAAATTTGATATTTCCTACTGTTTAGATTCCCCATCGATGACTCTTTAAGTTATATATAATATATATATATTTTTCAGCTAAAAATCACGACAACAAAACATTGAAAAACAAGTAAGAAGGCTCTAGTTGAGACTGCTCGACTAGGACATACCCTGAACCCTCCAAGCTGATATTTTAATCATTCTATACTTCATTTATGCACGTATACATACATACATACATACGGACAGACGGACAGGGCTATATCAACTCTGGGTCTGCGATGATTCCTTCTGCGTTTATCAAATGATTTCCAAAGACGTAATATCTGAATAATGAAGACATATGATGCAAGGTTAATTTACAATATATTTAATCTTCGTCTCTCATCAACTAATGAACCAATTTGATGGCATATTCATATGTGGGATGAGTACACGGATGACTGCCACAATACATCTCCAACAGAGACGCAGACATATTCTAATTTTCGTGGCGCCTAGCAAGGATTGACGCCTTTCCGATTCGTTGTGTAACCTACATATGCATGCATACATACATACATTTTCAGAGCTGTGCTCAAGTCGATCCAATTATGATTATTCGGTAATAGAACATAGTGTTTCACCAACTTGACGTGGATGAACGTGTTTGAGTGGCAAATGTACATATGAAGATGAATTTAGGACATATTCACATATGCCTACGCAATTTCCCCGTGATTCAGTAAGGAGTCCAGTGAATGTCATTAGCCCTATCGTTAAGGGTCACAACACAGTATATTCGGTTTGTCTAATGCCCATCCGTGCGTAACCTCGTCCAATTATATTCTAAAACTTTTACATTCAAATTGTCAAACCTTTTCTTGTTGCTTTCCAACTAAATTATTAAAATTGAACAAGCTTGCTTTGAAGACCTTGCATGATACGGAAGATTATACTTGTTATCTATGTAAAAAATATATAAACCTATGATTACCAGCTTCAGAAGGGTCAATAACTCAGACTAGCTTGGAAAAATCCCCTTAAAAAGGTCGGCAACATTTATCATTTAAAACGCAAACTGAGTTACTTAACACCGGACAGCAAGAAAATCGATTAGTTAGTTTTTAATAACTTTCTGCATTTATTACATACTGACTATTTTGATACCTGGATGTGTGCGACAATGTATGATTGAAGAATTCAAGAAAATTCTGTTTACTTTACTCTTTGTTATAAGCACAGACTTTTTTGGGAATAATAGCTTACAATAATTTGAGATCGTATGCTCGTACTCAACACATATTGTGCAGAGAAAGTGTGGAAAATCTATGTTTGTATACGCACAAACATATTTATTATACATTTATACGTACATTTGTATTATTGAGTGGCATCCATGCAAACAGGTTACATTGACGGTATTGCATTGGTATCGGTACCTCCATATATGTATATATCCACACATTTATTTATATATGTACATATGTCCTTCTCTAAGGTTGCGTTAAAGTGAAGTTGTTGGCAGGCACGCGAAAGCGCTATCATCACTATCAAAGCTTTCACAGCTTTTTCGAAAATCAGCCATTTTAATTTGTTTTCACTAAATGCTGACAAATAAGAAAACAAAAGAGAAGTAAGTAAAAGTAAATCCACAATATGGAATTTTAGCTGTAGATTAATGGAATAATCTCTATTAAAAGTAAAGTGTTCTATGTAGGTTTACGGACTAAGACATCATAGAACAATAGCTTTACAAGTTTTATTTATATTTGATAGAATTGTTTTTACTTATATTTTCAATTTCTTCTGGCATTTGCGCAATGTCCCCTTATCACATAGAGGTACACACATTTGTATTTAAATTCGAGTGAAGCAAGTGCAACAGCTGATTGGGCAACAAGTTGCGAAAAAGCTTTCGAAGCTGTGAACTCGTAGTTCAATGCCACGAAAATTTGGCCGAGCAATGTCGTCGGGTATTGTGGGCCTCGTTATTTTCGACCTCGACCAACTCGAATTTTGCAACTTGTTGTGCGTGTGGCCACGTCCTCGTCCTTGTCGTGGCTAAAAAGGCAGAAAATCAAAGTCAGTTGTACTCGCGCAGCTCTTACGTGTGGTACGTTGAAAATTCGTGTCCCGAACTCGCATCTCAATCTAAATCTGAATCCGAATCCCGAGTGAAATTAATGAAAATTGAACGCAGAAATCTAATATATGTGTTTTGTTAATTTGGATTGGACATTTTTTTGAGCTGTCATGCAAAGAACTTCGACCTATATATAATCTATATCATATCAAATGATACCAAACTTTTGTTAAAGAGACAGCGCCCAAGGAGGTACCTAAAGCTTACTCTTGGCAGCCAGTGAGCCAGTGGGCCAGTGAGACAGCCAGAAAGGTGTTTTTTATGGATTTTCCTTCGTCGTTTTTGTGGCTACGTCGAAACTGTTGCTTTGTTGTTTTCCATTATTGAAGCAGGTGGCTTTTAGGTGTACACAGCGTAGAACTGAGCTATTCATAAAGAATGCCTAAAAGGAACCCAATTAAGTTAAATATTCTTGCTTAGGTTATATATACATTTTAAGCTGTTGCATAACGAAAGCAGGTAAAACACAATTAATATTTCCATATTGTGAATTTTCATATCAAATATGTATATGCATGTATATGGTGTATATGGTGTATATATATATATGTATATGGTGAGCATTGAGATATTGAAAGTTTGTTCTAGCACCCTAGAGCAATTCAATATGGCGGCATCAACGAGGACATATGCATATACATTAGA